TTTTTTTTATAAAATTGTTTTCAATAGAACTTGTGGTTTTGTAATTCGAATATTTTGTGACAACTCGATTAAATGCTCTTCTCTAGTCAAATATATTCTTAAAACTTTTCAGCCTTCGATAAGTATTTTAAACACAAGATTTTTACACAGTTTTGCTCTTTCTAATAAGAAAATTATCAAGTCTTCACGATGAGCTGTTGTCACACGATAATAAAAAGAAAATTAATACAAAACTTGTACATCATTTTTTACTTTAGATTTTATAAAACTTCTATTAACTTTGTCATATTATCGTTACTAGATAAGAATGAGTACATACATCTAGATATTTTTCCATGATTTTTTTTCTCTGTTTATAAACGTAACTTATTCTTCTTCAAATAATGGTTGACCTTGAGGAAAAATAAATTTTAACCGTAATATTTCTAACTGAATCAGGTAACATACATACAAAAAGCTCAGTTCAAATAACAAGTTAATTGAACGATAATAACTCATCTACATTCCATATTTTGTTTACTTGAATACAAAAATAAAATAAAATAAAAGAATAACTTTATCGAGATCAATTATTGCTTAGAAGGTGCTTCACGGTAAAATTGAATTTGAATAATATTTTTACGTATGAATACAATATAAATTAGTTTTCAGAAAAAAATAATTTTTGAACAAAAGAAAAACTAGTGACTGAATTCAATTGAATTCCTTTTTAAATCACCTTCGACAATATTGAAAAGAAAAATAGAAATTGAATTATTTTAATTTTAATTTCAATCAACAATAGTTTCAAGGATATTAGACACAAATACACAAAGAGAAAAGAGTACTTTTCTCTTTGATTGAAGATTGTTGATCGTTACTGCATTCCAAGATTTTTTTTTTTTGTTTCACGTTCCTCTTTTCTTTTTTTTTTTTACTACTACTATTCCTCTCAACATGCAATCAAAAAGGCAAGTAAAAGTAAAAGTAGAAAAAGAAAAAGTTGTCAGTTTTGACGGTGACGACAACAACGACGGCAAATTCTCTTCTTTTTTATTATTATTCATAACCACACAACTAACTTCTAACCGCTTAAAATTATATAATTATTATTTACGATGAGCTACCGTCCGCGAGTACCTTCACTGGATGATCATTATTGTCAAGTATGTTCATCCTCATCGAGTAATCAAAATAGGCATTTAGCATGCTTTACTTGTGAACATTGTCATTTACCAATGTGTTATGAATGCTTCGAAAAACATACAAGTCAATTAAATGATGAATCTACTCATTTACAACAACGATATTCTCATTTACAAAATTTAGTTGACAATAAACAACAATCTCTTGGTCAATTTCAAGAACAATGTTTACGTAGTGTTAATTCTGAATTTAATGAAGTATTAAATGATTTAGAAAATCTTCGACGTGAAAGTGTTAATTATGTTAAACAACAATTTCATGATGCTGAAGTAAGTTGTTTTATAACACAAAACAAAAAATAATAATAATAATTGACTAAATATTTAATGATATTATTCTAGATAATTTTATCAGAAATGATGACAAATATTAAATCATTAATTGATAAAACTCAACAAAGTTCGACTCGTGAAAATATAACAAAAAATATTACACGTGAATTTGAAATACAACGACAACAAATCAATGAGATTGAACGTCGTCTTGATATATTATCATCACCAAAAATGCAAATAAAAATGTCAACATATCCACGAAATAAACTTGATTTACATTGTCAACTTCTTTCAAATTTATATACATCAACAAAAAAATTTTCTGCTAATTGTCCAGGTAAAACAATTTTAACACGATGTTCATATGATAAATTAATTGGATCACTAAGAGAAAAAATTGATGTTGAAACAGAAGTTGAAGAACTTAATCAAAATAATTTTATAAATAAACAAACTCAAACTGATTCAATGATTAATTATAATTATCATATTAATTATGGTGAAGATCATCATTTACAAGATGAAACAGATCAAATAACTAATCGTTTTAATATAGAAAATTCTTTAACTACACGTTTTATTCAACAAAGTACAATATTAACACAAAATGAAGTTGATCGAATTGCAAGTGATGGTGAACATTTACTTTATTTTTCTGATACATCTAAATCACTTTGTTATATAACAAATCTTATACCTACTAAAGAAGCTAATAGTACATCAATAACGAAAGAAATCTCATGTCGATGGCCAAATCATACTATTATTGATTTAGTTTATTGTCCAGGTTCATCACAATTTATTTGTGCAACTAAAACCGGTGTTTATACATGTAC